GAACACATGAGTTATGAGGAGAGGCTGAGGGAGCTGGGATTGTTTAGCCTGCAGAAGAGAAGAATGAGGGGGGATTTGATAGCTGCTTTCAACTACCTGAAAGGGGGTTCCAAAGAGGATGGCTCTAGACTGTTCTCAATGGTAGCAGATGACAGAACAAGGAGTAATGGTCTCAAGTTGCAATGGGGGAGGTTTAGATTGGATATTAGGAAAAACTTTTTCACCAAGAGGGTGGTGAAACACTGGAATGCGTTACCTAGGGAGGTGGTAGAATCTCCTTCCTTAGAGGTTTTTAAGGTCAGGCTTGACAGAGCCCTGGCTGGGATGATTTAACTGGGAATTGGTCCTGCTTTGAGCAGGGGGTTGGACTAGATGACCTTCTGGGGTCCCTTCCAACCCTGATATTCTATGATTCTATGATTGTCATTCTCTATAAATATCTATTCTCGTGGCATCCATCGTCAGCCACCGCTTCCGCTGTAACTCAGCACTCCTGCACAACCTGCTCAGATCACCGTGGCAGTTATGAGCATTGTAAACAGCTCACGCATTGTCCTGAAGTATGTGCAGAACCAGAACCTGCAAGAGCAGGCGAGGAGGCAATGGCAGCACGGTTATGAGAGTGATGAGGACATGGACACAGACTTCTCTCAAAATACGGGCCCCGGCAATTTGGACATTCTGGTGGCAATGGGGCAGGCTCATGCCATGGAACACCGATTGTGGGACCGGGAAACAAGCACAGACTGGTGGGACCGCACAGTGTTGCAGGTCTGGGATGATTCCCAGTGGCTGTGAAACTTTCGCATGCATAAGGGCACTTTCATGGAACTCTGTGACTTGCTTTCCCCTGCCCTGAAGCACAAGAAGAGAGCAGCCCTCACAGTTCACAAGTGAGTGGTGATAGCCTCTGGAAGCTTGCAATGCCAGACAGCTACCAGTCAGTCGGGAATCAATTTGGAGTGGGCAAATCTATTGTGGGAGCTGCTGTGATCCAAGTAGCCAACACAAACACTGAGCTGCTGCTATCAAGGGTAGTGACTCTGGGAAATGTGCAGGTCAGAGTGGATTGCTTTGCTGCAATGGGATCCCCTAACTGTGGTGGGGCGATAGACGGAACGCATATCCCTATCTTGGAACCGGACCACCTTGGCAGCCAGTATGTAAACCGCAAGGGGTACTTTTCAATTGTGCTGCAAGAACTGGTGGATCACAAGGGACGTTTCACCGACATCAACGTGGGATGGCCGGAAAAGGTACATGACGCTTGCATCTTCAGGAACTCTGGTCTGTTTGAACAGCTGCAGGAAGGGACTTACTTCCCAGACCAGAAAATAACCGTTGGGGATGTTGAAATGCCTATAGTTTTCCTTGGGGATCCAGCCTACTCATTAATACCATGGCTCATGAAGCCATACACAGGCACCCTGGACAGTAGTCAAGAGCTGTTCAACTATAGGCTGAGCAAGTGCAGAATGGTGGTAGAATGTGCATTTGTACATTTAAAAGCACGCTGGCACAGTTTACTGACTCCGTTAGACCTCAGCGAAACCAATATTCCCATTGTTATCGCTGCTGGCTGTGTGCTCCACAATATCTGTGAGAGTAAGGGGGAAGACATTTATGGCAAGGTGGGAGGCAAATTGCCTGGCCGCTGATTACGTGCAGCCAGACACCAGGGCTGTTAGAAGAGCACAGCAGGGCGTGCTGCACACCAGAGAAGCTTTGAAAACCAGTTTCATGGCTGACAAGGCTACGGTGTGACAGGTCTGTTTGTTTCTTCTTGATGAAAACCTGCCCCTTTGGTTCACTCTACTTCCCTGTCAGCCAACTGCCCTCCCCCCTTTGATCACCACTTGCAGAGGCAATAAAGTCATTGTTGTTTCAAATTCATGCATTCTTTATTAATTCATCACACAAATAGGGGGATAACTGCCAAGGTAGCCCGGGAGGGATGGGGGAGGAAGGAAGCACCGGGTGGGGTGGTGGATGAGGGGAGGAGGGAAGGGCAAGGGCACACTGCACTTTAAAACTTATTGAATGCTGTCCCTCCTGTCCTCGCATTCATTTTCTGCTTTCCTGGACTCTGCCATTGTTTGTCTCCACGCATTCTGCAGAGCTGTTTCAGTGCAGGAGGACTGCATGAACTCAGAGAACATTTCATTGTGCGTGCGTTTTTTTCACCTTCTTATCTGCACTAGCCTCTGGGATGGAGATGGTTGGGGGGAGTGTTGAAACATTTGCAGCTGCAGGAGGAAGTATTTAAAAAGACACATTTTAGAGGACAATGGGTAGACTCCTTCATGGTGAACCAAACTGTTAACATTACATAGCACATGTGCTTTCGGTACAAGGTCGTATTTTGCCTCTTATATTGAGGCCCTGCCAGTTTGGTGTGAGAGATCACACATGCAGGGCCGGGCAACAGAATTTGGCTTGCGGGCAACCATGGTAAGCCACAGTCTCTCGGCTTCTTCAACCTTCATAACATGTGGGAATGGTTTCAAACAGCAGCACCCTCCTTTCCCATACCAAGCACCCGTTGGGTTGGCCATTTCAAAGGAGGGGCTGCGGTTTTTGGGTTAATGTGCAGCACAATCCCAAATAACCCCCCCCCCCCAATTCTCTGGGATGATCACTTCACCCTCCCCACCCACCGCATGACTAGTATCAGGGAAGATCCCTGCCAGCCAAACATGAACAGTTCAACATAAATCCCCTCCCCCGCCAACGCCTAGCTAAAAGCAGGGATGATTTCTTTTCAGCCACAGGCAAACAGCCCAGCAGGAATGGCCACCTCTGAATGTCCCCTTAATAATGTCCCTGGAGGATTTCCGCTCCACCCCCAGACACGTTAACAGACTTTTCCAGTAGCTGTACTGGCCGCAAATGCATCTCAAGTCTTCAGGGCAAATTAATCATTAAACATGCTTGCTTTTAAACCATGTATTATATTTACAAAGGTACACTCACCAGAGGTGCCTTCTCCGACTTCATGGTCCGGGAGCTGCCTTGGGAGGGCTGGGAGGATATTGGCTCCAGGGTGATAAACAGTTCCTGGCTGTTGGGGAGAATGGTTTCTCCGCTTGCCTGTTGTGCGCTATCCTCCTCCTCCTCTTCCTCATCCCCAAAATCCTGATCCCTGTTGTGTGAGACTCCCCCCTTGCAGGTGTTGACGGACAGGGGTGGCGTAGCGGTAGGGGCACCCTGTAGAATTGCATGCAGCTTATCATAGAAGCAGCATGTCTGGGGCTCTGACCTGGAGCGGCCGTTTGCCTCTCTGCTTCTTTGGTAGGCTTGCCTGAGCTCCTTAATTTTCAAGTGGCACTGCTGCAGGTCCCTGTTATAGCCTCTGTTCATCATGCCCTTGGAGATTTTTTCAAATATATTGGTATTTTGTCTTTTGGAAAGGAGTTCTGATAGCATGGATTTGTCTCCCCATACAGTGATCAGATCCAGTACCTCCCGTTCAGTCCATGCTGGAACTCTTTTGCGATTCTGGGACTGCATGGTCACCTGTGCTGAAGAGCTCTGCATGGTCACCTGTGCTGAAGAGCTTGCCACGCTGGCCAAACAGGAAATGAAATTCAAAAGTTCCCGGGGCTTTTCCTGTCTACCTGGCCAGTGCATCTGAGTTGAAGGTGCTCTCCAGAGAGGTCACAATGGAGCACTCTGGGATAGCTCCTGGAGGCCAATACCGTCGAATTGTGTCCACACTACCCCAAATTCGACCCAGCGATGTTGATTTCAGCGCTAATCCTCTCGTCGGGGAGGAGTACGGAAATTGATTTTGAGAGCCCTTTAAGTCGACAAAAATGGTTTCGTCGTGTGGACGGGTGCAGGGTTAAATTGATCTAACTCTGCTAAATTCGACCTAAACTCGTAGTGTAGACCAGGGCTAAGATGTTACAACAACCTCACAAGTGATAAAAGAACCACTCTAGTTAGAAGACCCGGCATACACAGACAGAGATCAGGACTCCCTCCTCCTATTTTTTCCCATAGTTGTCTCCTGATGTAATAAAATGAAGACTAGTCTCACAGGCTTTCAGCTATTTTTTTTCTTCATAATTTGGGGTCTCACTTTAATATCTGGCTCTTACACAAAACAATCTGGATGAAATCCTGGCCCCACTGAAGGCAATGGGATAACTCACATGTAACATCAGTGTAGGCCAAGTCCTGTTTTGGTTGCAATTGTGACTTCTAAAAATATATTCTCCTGAGATTAAGCTTTGCATACACTAGTTCTTTACAAATATATTTGAGACTTACTGAAGCACATCAAGAAAAGGAGTACTTGTGACACCTTAGAGACTAACCAATTTATTTGAGCATGAGCTTTCGTGAGCTACAGCTCACTTCATCGGCTTCCTATGTGTCAAGTAATCAGAGAATTAGTTCAGTGAATTATTTCAAGAAGTCCAGTAATTCCAGAAGTATGGGGAAAATATTTCTAAGAGTGGAGGACTCTTAGCAGACAAAGACTTGAGAAGATACAATGGCTGGAAGCTGAAGTTAGAAAAATTCTGTTTGGAAATAAGGTGCAAGTTTGTAACAGTGAGAGTGACTAACTTGCAAGGAATACAGTGGATTCTTCATCACTGAAGCCTTTAAATCAAGAAAAGATATGTTTTTAAAAAGATATTCTCTAGCTCAACAAGAAATTTGCACTTAATGCAGGAATCACTAAGTCACATTCTGTTGTCAAACTGGACAATACGTTCTAGCTTTTATGAATCTATGGAAAAGAATGATGTCCAGGGGCTTGATTCAAATCTCATTGACTTCAATGGTCTTAGAATAAGGCCTATACAGACCTAATTCAAGACACCAATCAAGGATCTAGAGCAGTGGTTCTCAAACTGTGTCCGGAGTTTGGGTTCCATTTACATTTTAACCAATAAATTGTCTCATTGACCATCTACCCTTCTAGTTGCAAGTTAAATAAGTGATATGGTTAATTTTACCTTGTATTAAAACATTGCCCTCATACTTACTCATACAGATTCTTCAAAGGTGCGGTTAAAATGGCAAGTGCAGAGAATAGATTGTTGCAGTGGTTGTGTATTTTATAGATCTTGGCATCTTTGTCTTTATGTGGATTCAAAAGTTCCTGAACTGAGCAGCAAGCTGACCACAGCATATTTTCAGTAGATATTAAAATCGCTGTGATATCAATTCTGTTGGGAAGAAAGGGTGAAAATGTCAGCCATGGAAGTAGTCTGATGGTGAAATCTCATCTGAGTTATCAATGCACTTTCCTACAATACAGAAAATACAAACTCCTTATTTGAAATGGCTGGAATTGTTAAATGACCTACAAGCTCTCTGTAAGTAATATACACTACAAACTAATACATAATCAATCAATTTCTGGTCAGAAAAAAACATTTTATTCGGTTCTCTTAATAAACAATAGTTGACACAGCATGTGAAGCTAGAGCCATATCTCTGGCTCTTCAGTCCTTGCTCCTGCTACCCCCCAGCATCTTCCCTATTAACATCCAGCCCTCTGCCCCCTACCCCAGAACCCCCTTCTCACTGCCAGAGTCACCAGTTACCTGCTACTCCTCCCTTGTCACTTTCTAGCCCCCTAAACTCCTCACTGACACTTTCCAGTCTCTTTCTGACACTGCCCCGCCCTCTCTCCCCAGTATAAACACCCTATTACCAATTTCTTTACATTGTACAGGAAGCAGATATTCTGCAGGTCTGATATGACCAATCTCTGCCACCAGATGCTATATAATAACTGCAAAACAATTTCTGTCACAAGTAAGACAATGCTGCTGCAGGAGACATGTAGCAAAGGAAGGAGGTAGACAAGTGTGGGAAGCAAGGCCTGTAGGGAATTCAAAGAAGCAGAACCTTGTGTACCTTCCCCACCAACCTACAGGGAATAGGAGGAAAGGTGTGGGACTCAGTAGTTTCCCAGCCCTAATTTCCTTTCTCATATGGGTGGGCACTGTACTAACTCTGACTCCAGCAGGCAGAGAAAATGCAGCTCGGCCACAGAACTGGTGGTAATAGAACAGCACACAGTCACACACACTAGCCAGCAGGAGACTGTCAAATCATGGCTCTTCCCTCCTGCTTGTGTGAATTGTAAAAGGGAAAAACGTTGGGTTTAAATTTTACTGGAGAATAGCAACTTAGTTTAAATAATATTACAGGATGGAATTGCAGTGCACGCACTGCATTCAAGTCCAACTGGAAAGACTGACTAGCAGACGGTGAACTGATTTTCAGTCTGTGAACCTTTATAGGTTCCCAACTGACTGAGGCAAGGTGATAGGACAGAGAAGAGTTTTCAACTAGTAACCAGCTAGACAATGCCTGGCACAAGGCCACAGAACCTTGACCTAATTAAAAAAAATAAAATTCAATATAAAATAATAGATATGCTGAAGTAAGAATGTAGTCAAACAAATGCATAACACAAAGGGCAAGATTTTCAAAGATACTAAGGCACCTAGGGATGCAGAAAGGCACCTAGTGGAATTTCCATAAAGCCTAACTCCCAGTCCTACTAAGTTCCTATCTGAATCTTTAGGCATCTAAATACCTTTGAAAATCTGGCCCAAAGTTCACAAAAAGCTCTCTATCTTAGTCTCATGGGTTTATAATGTCGCTAGAAGTTCCCAGTTAAAATACAGCCTTATAAAGCACACTTATGCAATACGTCATAGTATGAATATATAGAATCATAAACTTTAAGGTCAGAAGGGACCATTATGATCGTCTAGTCTGACGTCCTGCACAACGCAGGCCACAGAATCTCACCCACCCTCTCCTGTAACAAGCCCCTGACCTACGTCTGAGCTACTGAAGTCCTCAAATCATGGTTTAAAGACTTCAAGGTGCAGAGAATCCTCCAGCAGGTAACTAACTATATTCAAAGAAAAATATGTTTTTTATTGTATGACTGGATAATTCACTTAGAGACAAAGCCAAGAATTACCATTTTAATGAATGGAATAGAAGTTTATAAATGGAGTGCCCTGTTTATTAAAGTAAACAAAAAGTTTCTTCTTGTCCAGTAACTTAAATCAGCTTCATGCAAAGCTGAAAAATACCAGATGCATCAGGCACTGTAGCAGGACTTTTATATCCTGCAAATTATAGGAAATTTTGCAAGAAAATTATCAGGAAAAGTGTTTTCATGTCAGGAGATACAGTAACTATCGTATTCTGTGTTGGCTAAACCCACAAGATGTAGTACCTGATATTAGGGGCTTCTTTTTTGCCCTTCCTCCCCCTACGCCACCCACAGTTCTTGTCATGAAGACAGAAAGCAGAAGACCGAAAGTCAGAAGTGCAGGCAATGCAATGTTTATTGGGGTTAGTTTCCAGCAAGTATATTTCAAGCAAGTATATCCATAGCTCTGATGCCGCAGAGCCTTTACCCGTGTCCCCGTTTCCTATTCCCACCTCTTCCTTCTTACCAAGCCCAAATATACCTGTAGTGAACACCCCTGATCCGACACTTTACAATTTATGGTCATGTTCCATTTTGGAGGGTCATGAGTCTGGGGTCTGGATGCCACCTCTTTTGTATCCCATGGAAAGGGTAAGGAATGTGTTCTGGCCAAGGCCAGGCCTTTCTTTGACCTTTTGTGTTTCTTATGACCCCCACTCCCACAATCCCATTGCCCCTCCTAAATGGTTGCTTGACCTTGGCTTGAGAGAGGAGCCAGGCAGCCTTCCAGTATATGCTTATATGTTAAACTCCCATAATACCCAGTAACACATTTAACTTTATCCCTTATCTTTTCTCATTATACTAACAAAACCCATCTGGCTGGGCAGAAGCAACACACAGTGTCTTTGTTCTTTGTTCACACATATTAAAAAGGATATAAGAGTATCAAAAAGCAAACCTAAAATTCTATCTCAAGCTAACAAACAGGCCTATATACTAACACTTGAGCATGCAGAAATACTGTCTAGGAGTATATGCTAATTATATTTAAGAATATAAAGTGACCTTATCACAGAGAATTTAGTACAGGATTAAAGCATAAACAAGAGCTAGGAAATCTGTGGTTTATTCCCAGCTCTTACATAGACTGTGAAACCTTGAACAAGTCACTTCGCCCCTCTGTGCCTCAGTCTCCCCATCTGTAATGTGGGTTTACAATACTTCTCTAACTCACATGGATGTTGTAAGACTTAATTCACTGATGTTTGCAAAGTACTTTATGAAATTCTTGGATGACAGACACTTTAGAAATCTTCAGTATCATGAGCAAATTTTACATCTCAATCTCTGTTGCACATCTACATTTACAGCCTTCAGCAGGAGTTATGTGAGTATATTGTCCCAGGTGGATTCAATGTCCATGCAGATGATTGATTCTCTTGAGATTAATTTAAATCTCATGGCCACCATGATCACCATGGACCCTGACATGTTTCAGTAAAGAACAGGGCAAGAGAAGCAGTTCACTTTACTGATTGCTGTAACCAAACAGGAGAATGGAAAGGAAGGAATAAGGTATTAAGACAAGTTTGCCGCAAGGGCTGCCTGCCCTTTTATTGCTTCTTGACAAAGCCCTTGCTCCAGCAAAGTTTAGGAACCTCATAGGACAGTCTTCAGCTGGAGCACTTGCCTGTCCTGGAGCTGCCAGAAGAGCAGGGCTTTTAATTCATGGTTCAATCCCTTGACCCTCACCCAAAGCTACTCCTGCTGTCTGCATTTCTTTTTGTCTGCTCAGCCACTGCTTGGACCCTTTTACATCAAGCCTCATGCACTCTGGCCATTTATGTGGCAGTTTTACAAAAGAGGGAGTTATGCAATCCCAATCATATACTGCATGATCACATTACATGGAGCCTAGCATATACTTAAATATCCCAGATGCATTTTATTAAAATAATCCTCATAGGAATTATATAAATTTATGAATTTATTTTTATATTCACGTATTTTTAAATTCAGGTGAATTACAACAAAACAACACATCATATCCTGAGAACACATGCATTTTATTCACAAAAAAACACCTGTTAATCAAAAATGTATTACCTTATCTGTGGAGTTCTCTTGTAACTGGGATGGGCCTGAGAATATCTGCAGGCTAGCACAGCCAAAGATTTCTCCAGCACTTCTTTTAGAATCTCCTGGGCTAACTTGGGGGGTAGAATAGTCCACAGATCATGTTGGAGAGCACAGCAGAAATAATGCCACATCTGGACAGAGAATGAGCATCTTTCCCCCTGGCAAAACCACAACACATTAAACAATAGAAACACATCTTCCAAAATGTCAGCTTGGTTCCTGTGAATCTAATTAGTTCAGGCTGAGAGGAAATAGCTGAAGAGTTTGAGACAGTAAATGACCAAAAAAGATTCTTGACAAGATGTAAAACATCTTTATTGACAAAGAAACACATGTTTCATTTCAGTTACTAAACCAATACTCTACCACAAAGCCAAACCACAAACATTTGACCTACTATATCCTTAATTAGCCTACTTGTGACCTATTGTTTTAATTTTACTTTAAAACTACATACAGTATTTTGCAATCACTAAACTAACCAGATTAGTTTAATATATTGGCTACCTCTTCTTAAACAAGAACCAAAGTATTTAAATTACTTAAGTATGTCTATTTCCATAGATATCCATAATAACCACTGTCAGATTTTTTATATCATTTCCTGGTTTTCTTACATAAAATAAACTTCAACTATTATGCATTGAGTATACTGAAAAAAAATCATAAAAGAGTAGAACTTTACCCATGGAGATCTTTGCGTAGAATGCTTCCTATACAAGTACTAGCTCAAATTGTTCATACATTGTTTATAACTGTGTGTTTTGATACCTTATGGTCTCCTAATTATGAGATTCACTATTGTATATTTCTTCCAGGAGAAGGTGATCAAATGTGCAAATATTTCTACACAGTGGACCACAAGCTAAATATGAGTCAACAGGGTAACACTGTTGCAAAAAAAGCGAACATCATTCTGGGATGTATTAGCAGGAGTGTTGTAAGCAAGACACATGAAGTAACTCTTCCACTCTACTCCACGCTGATTATGCCTCAACTGGAGTATTGTGTCCAGTTCTGAGTGCCACATTTCAGGAAAGGTGTGGACAAACTGGAGAAAGTCCAGAGAAGAGCAACAAAAATTAATAAAGGTCTAGAAAACATGACCTATGGGGGAAGATTGAAAAAACTGTGTTTGTTTTGTCTGGAAAAGAGAAGACTGAGAGGGGACATGATAACAGCTTTTAAGTACATAATAGGTTGTTACAAGGAAGAGGAAGAAAAATTGTTCTTCTTAACCTCTAAGGATAGGACAAGAAGCAATGGTCTTAAATTTCAGCATGGGAGGTTTAGGTTGGACATTAGGAAAAAATTCCTAACTGTCAGGGTGGTTAAGTACTGGAATAAATTGCCTTGGAAGGTTGTGGAATCTCCATCATAGGAGATTTTTAAGAGCAGGTTAGACAAACACCTGTCAGGGATGGTCTAGATAATACCTAGTCCTGCCATGAGTACAGGGGACTGAACTAGATGACCTCTTGAGGTCCCTTCCAGTTTCTATGAAATATTCTCTTTATTTCTACAACTATAACTCTTGCATTCACAGAATAAGCACATTAAGCACAATAATTAGCTTCCATTCCTAATGGAGACTAATACCTTTTTGATAAGTTTTTAGGTCTTCTAGCATCAAATTAAAATCAGTCTCACAATAAGAAATAAGACTTTCTAAATGAATTTTCTATGTGGTACAGCATTTATAATGTTTTATTAAGTATTTGAATGCCTGAGAGTCTTGTTAATTCTCTGGGAGCCTACAAACTCTTATCTGAACATAAGTTTATACTATTATACCTATTATTATATAACATTGTTGTTCACTATATAGAATCTTAAAGTGCTAAATTTAATAATGTATCTTTTCTAACATTGTGCCTCTAAAACAGAAGTAATAGTGTTTTGATTAAAGATTTATATGAGATCCATTCCCTTTTGCTGACCTGTTTTTCTGTTTGTTGTCATTTCTAAAGTATTCTACTGGTAAACATCTGCTATTTTTGAAGACTTTGTACAATGTAAACAGATGTGAGCTTTTATTTAGATTATATATCAGGAAACAAGCAGCTGGGTTTTATTACATAAGCCACTCAATATTATCTTTGAACAGACAATTCTTTATTCTTTGACTATTAGAAAACATAAGTTCCTAAAATTGCAGCAGATGTCTGCTACACTAAAAGCTTGATTCTAAAATGTAATGTGGAGAGCTGGCCTGGTGATACAGCGGGTTTTCAATGTACTCCATCAGTAAGATGCTGCACCCTAAGAGGTTCACACCCTGACATTTTAGAATGTAAATGCTTTATGGTAAAAATGTACTTAGGGTTCCATTCAGATCTCACATACATAGGCACATATTGATCCATACCTTGTAAAATTATTACTGAACTTTTACAAGCTATATGTCCATATGAATAGAATAGAGCTCTTAGCCTACAGTTAAGATGGGACTGTCTGCTTTTCTCTTGATCATACCCGCCACTGTTTTCAAAATCAGTTGAATTAGCAGAGAGGTATAAGGAGAGTGTGTGAAGAGAGAATGAAGTTAGGTGTCCCGATGCAAAAACATTTGTAAATTGAGCTATTTTTACCTTCACTGCGTAGAAAAGCAATATCACTTTATTTTAAAGAGTATAAATAGCCACAGACTCCCAAGTTTAGTTGGGGTCTTTGGAGGTTACCATTGTAAAAATAATAATAAGTCTATAGAAAATGTCACTCCATGTAATCACAGTGCGCCACATTCTGACAACGTTACTCATGTTGAGAATGCCTTTATCTGCATATAGTCCCATTTTCTTTTGTGGTGTGCAGTTTATTATTTTGAAAAAGAGGGGCCAGCCAGTTCTGCTTGTCAGCACGTGGTGGGTGGGGTCGGCAGTGGGAAAAGAGGCGGGGCAAAGCCTCACTCCTCCTGCCACAATTTGAATGACATGCATCCCTTAGAATAGGAAGGGAACAGCCCCATGGATATCCAATGTGTTCTACCTGGCCCTTACACAGGCTGCATAACAGTGGGGAGGGGGAAGGTTCCTTCCTTATACACTCCCCTTCTGATGCATACAGGGCTGGCTCTAGGCACCAGCAAAACAAGGAGGTGCCAGCCATGGTACCCCTAGAAATGTGCCCCCACCACCCCAGCTCACCTTTGCTCTGCCTCTGCCTGCTCACCTGAGTGCATCACCACCGTTCCGCTTCTCCCCATCCCTCCCAGGCTTGCTGCACCTGGGCGGGAGGCAGGGAGGAGAAGCCAAGCAGCAGCACGCTCGGGGGAGGTGGCAGTGGTGGAGCAGAAGTGAGCTGGGGCGGGGATCGGTTCCTCTACCCCCCCCCCGCTCTTACTTCCTGCGCTCCACCCCCACCCTCACTCACCTCCGCTCCGCCTGCTCCCCTGAACGCGCTGCCTCTCCCTCGCCTGAGAAGGAGGGGGGAAAAGCAGAGCAGCAGCATATTCAGGGGAGCAGGCGGAGCGGAGGTGAGCTAGGGCAGGAGGGTTGTTGGGGGGGGGGGGAGCCGCAGGAAGCAATGGGGGAGGGAAATGTAGCATGCCCAGGGGAGGAGGTGGGGCTGGGGATTTGGGGAAGGGGTTGGGAAAGGGCGGAGTTGGGGCAGAGCTGGGGGGAAGGCACAAAAAAAAAGCGAGGGCGGCCAAAAAATTTTTTGCTTTGGGTGGCAAAAATCCTAGAGCCAGCCCTGGATGCATACATCCATAAAGCAGAGATACACTCTGTCCCTTAGTTTGGTGGGAGAGAGTGGTTCTTCTCTTTGTGAATTTTAACTGAGGACTTACAAAGAGTGCCAGATAAATTGTCCTGAAGATTGAAGCAATACAAGCTTCCTTCAACTACCTTCTTATGTGCCTCAATCCTGACCAGAGGAGCGAGGATTATTCAGTCAGTCCTTGCTGTCTTTGCTGAGACTGCTAACAATTTTTGTCAATTATGATGGTAGTTTTTATGAAGTGGACAATTGTTTCCTAGTTGCTGGAATGAGGCCACCAAAAACTGGTCACAGTCATGTGATAAGTTGAGACTGTTACCAGTGCAGACCAGATCCCAATCAGTGACCAAGAAGTACTGGGCTCCATACTACTGCCAACTTCCTGAACCATCCAGACCATATTTAAGAAAAATAAAATCGGTTTCTTTATTACTTCTGCTCTGAGACACAGAGACCCTTTAATAGCACCAGCCACGGAAAGTAACATTTAATCAGTTGGACTCTCCAGATCCTCACCATCGAAAGAGAAGGTATAACACAATGGCTCTTCCTAACAGTTTCCAGAATGTAAGTATCAGATACAAAGGAGATTCTGCTCCATTGCAGGAGGCCTGGGAGACAGTAGAGTCATACGCAGAAGCCTAGTTCTCATATATGGCAATTGTAACAAGCAAGGACAGGACCATGGTTGCTGTAGATCCCAATTATTATTGATAATGAAATTACAAATGTTTTACATGACCCAGAAATCACATTCAAGGGATTTTAAGCAATATGTAGTCTATAATCAATGGAATAGTTCACTGGAAGTGGGAAAGAATCAATATATTCATCTGTATGTTTTATTAATTGGCCCCTGATTTTCTTGCACTGAAATAATTAAACTAGAGTTTAAGAGTAGACTTGGGATTCCAAAATTCAGACAATATCACAAATGCAGGTTAGAAACATATGGCTGGATTCTGTGGACAGGGATACTGGTCACTTGTGCTATCTGAGCCACTTACCAAACCCACAGTAGGGGAGCAAAATGAGAAAGAATGACAAAGGAGAAATATATTAAATAAGAAAAATACTTATCATATGCACATGTATTGGCAGGGAAAGAAAAAAAATCAATTCTTACAATCATCATAGGGAGTATTTCTGCGAGAAAAGATTTACGTTATTCTGGTATTGTTATTTCTTTGAGTCTTATACTGTATAGGCGTCAATATATTAATCTTCTCTCCTTTCCCCATACAGGTAAACTATCTATTTTCAGCCAATCCTAAGGAACAGTATTTTACTAGGCAAATGGCATGAGAACCCTTATTTAATTAACTGACTGATTAATCTTAAGTCTTTTAACTATATTTTACTAGATCATTGCTAAGATATTTACATACAGTAACAGAGCTATTTTAAAAACATATCCCAACAGCCTCTGTGCACAAGTAGAACAGATCTTATGTTTCTAATTAGTCAGAGAGCAGATAAGCAGTAAAACACATTTATGTAAAAGGAGGGGATAGTAAACTTAACCTCACACCTCATAAAAAGCTTTGTAGTCATCCCAGTGGTGGCTCTCAGCATCCTGTAAAATACTTGTAGCACAAACTCTGACGCAGTAGTTGGTAACTTGAAACTGGAGAACGTTGATGAATTCCTGATATCCCTGGACAGGCACTAGGAACAGGGGCCTGTTCAGAGGGAATGATCAAAGAGGCAAAGATTTAAGGCCTGTGCAGTAGGAGGTAACAATCCACAGTACTACAAATGGTTTGGATTATTACTTATCAATCATTCATTTCCTCTTGGGCCTGAAGTCAAAGCCCACATTCACTTTCAAAAAATCTGGTCTTTGTTTTGCAAACTCTTTGAAAATGTACATCTGCTGTTCTACAAATACGTATTTCTGCTTCAGACAAACTGCATTATCAATACATCATTCAGAAGTGAAAGTATTCTTCCCTATTATTACAAATCAGAATATTATTTTGTCATTCAATTGTCCATGTTGTTGGAAGACACTATGCACTTTTCAGCAGTAACTTTTATAAAGCTAGCATATAAACATGAGTCCCCTAGACTTACTCTTTTTAGTAAAATAAAAAGTGTAACTCCGCAGATGTGAATGATCATAAACAGTTTTGAAATGCACACAAATCGAATGATTTGGGCAATATTTGGGAGTAGATTCTGTCATGCACCAAGATACACTCATTGCAAGAGAGGGGAAAGCGTTAGGGATCCAATAATGGTTCTCTGATTCTGATGCTGCCCTGGCCCCAACCCTAAACTGCACTAAGTTACAACAACTGGGTATGGTCCTGCAGTGCTCTGCTTACACCTGCCCGAGGGGAGCTCAGTGCCATGCTCAACATGCTCCCATGGAAGGATGTGTGGAGGGGAGACTGGCCTGGGAACCAGTTCCACCGTTCTACACCAGTACATCAATTCTCTTTTTCACCACAGGAATCCTCAACTGGTCAGTAGCTCCAGCTTATATCCCCTTTGCCCCATTCAGGCAGAGCAACAGGGAGATAATAGGAGCTGAGAATCGGGGCTCTGTTTTTAAATTCAGATGTGAATCATAGCATACAAGATATTTTTAATTAGAAATCAAAATCATAATATTTTACTAGAGATGGTCAAAACTGGAACCTTAAATCCAAACCCCTTTAAGTTTCTGCTTGGGTATGCATTCAGATTTGAACTAGCACCTTATTTTTACTCTAGGTCATACTCAAATCCACAAGGAGCTCAGTTCCAATTCAGACATGACCAGAATCACACAGGATGAGCAGATCAAGAGATTCCTACTGTTCTGAGCCAAAATCTCCTAAGAACCACATACATAGTTTCAGGGCCATCAGGTCCAAGCATTAGCTCTGATTCAACCTCTAACCTGAACCCTTACCCAATCCTACTCTGGATCCCAACACCCCTTCTTTGACCTATCTCTAATTTTATTTAGCATCCATCTAAGACTTATTAATAATTACCCTCTTGTAAAAGTTTATTGGATACATATGCTCATGGTGCTTAACACAATCTTCATGACACCAACCTGCAGGAGGAACATATCTTCATGTTGTCAAACATTAAATTTTTTAACATTGTTTTTATGAAAATTAAGCTGTTGCTGCAGACAAAAATGAAATGGAAGTCCTCCATTCATCCATACCATAATATAGTGTAGACTGTATAGGAGTATTTGCTCAAGGTTAAGAAGTAAAGAATTTGCATTGCCTTGCCAATTCAGACCTTGAAGGTAAAAATCAATGTTTGTAATAACTACTTCAAGTTATCAATATGTCTGATCTTTCCTAAAAAACAGTGCAAATAGTACTTTAAGTATAGGAAATATTTTGGGTATATTTACAAGTATTATAGATTATACATTATACCACTAAAATGGAATCAAAGTTCCATATCATCTATATTTGAATTAAAACATATTTAAAGGACTCACTTCTTGCTGGTCTCTCTCATTAAATTATCATACATCATAAAATGCTGAAAGACATGTACTGCTGTGGAGAGAACAGCATACAAGTTTTGCAGTGGAGCCTTGAAGGGAACTTCTTTGCTTCTCTCCTCCAACCTTTCCAGGACAGCTGTTGCTACTTTGCAGCAGGCCTCTACAAAGTTTGCTCTAATTTCCTGAAGAGAATCATCTCTGCATGCCAGAGCCAGTGGAAGCACTGTGTCAAGTTCTTCCATGATGTCAGAACAAAACTAGGGAGAAATAAATGTGGCATCAAGTTATTTGTACTCTGACAGCTCAGTAATTTATGTATGCCAGGGCCAAATTCTTGAATAATGAAATTGGCACAACACAAATATATTGAATCAGCCTTATAAAAATGTCAGTCTCTGGTACAGAAGGCAAATTTTTGTGCCGTATACCAGCACAGTACATGCTAAGGATTTAACCTTATATGAGAAAATGCCCTAATTTTGCTCATGCCCTCCCATCATATATATTTAATGGTGTTCAGAAGATAAGACTAATTCCTTCCAAACAGAGATAATTCTCTAAACTATTATATCATTTTCAAAAGCTATGTTTTAATCAATTTCTTGCTGCTAGTTATAGGGGGGACATTGTCATCTTCTAGCAAGTGTATGTATTGTTCTCAATAAAGCCATCTTACTAAAAGCCTGGACGCTCCTTTAACTAAACATTTAATAATTCTGCTTAGCATCAATTGCTTTCCATCCTAAATTGGTAAAACACTTGCAAAAATTACAACATTAAAAAGCTTTCATATATTATATATTCTTAGACTAACCATTTAATTTATCAACATATCTGACCTTTTAGCCAAATCAAAGAACTCCAATTTGGCCATAATATTCGTTATGCTGATTAATTAAATGGCATGCCTAAGGAAATAAATACAGGAAATCCTTTTATAGCAATGCTTCAAATTTTGAAAGCATATCATCATCAAATTGGGATGTAGCACTACAGACACTAATCAGAATGGTTTTGAATCCTTTTGATGCAAAAAATAAAAGGGTAAAGTTAAAAAGTTCATTTTGTTTAGTACAGACTATGTGTTAAAATATAACACAATATTTGGCATTGTATTTTAATGCCTTTCACTTTCTTTTTAACTCCATTTATATACAACCTGGAATATTAATGGCACTGTAAGCATGTCAAAGCTTGGACAGCAAACAACCTTGGCATTCTGTCTCCCGGCAAACTTCAGATCTTTGGATACCTGCCTTTGCAATTTGTTTTGGTTGTTCCTCCTCGTGGACTGTTTCCCAGGACTCCCTCATTTGCTGGATGTTTACTAGACTCATTGTATAGACTGCAGCTGAAGACTCTTCTTTCTGCTCAAGCTGAAGAATTTTAGTTGAAAAATCTTCAATTGCTATTGTTATACAGTGTGCCACAGAAGAAGACAGGTCTTTAAATGCATTTCTCCAGCTAAAATCCAGTAAAGTAGTCTGAAATATAAATGTATATCACATCAATCCAAACTCAGCAATGAACATTACTGTTGTTATGGTTCCAATCTTATATGACTACCAGTATACAAGTTATCTAGAGATATTCTGTCATACTGTGAAAGCCATTCACATAAGTTGGAAAATACAACTCACAAACAATGAACTAACAATAAAAAGCATATGTATTTTTAACACAGATTAATACATATAGTAATGTTTCATTCAAATTGTTATTGGATTTAATAAAAATATCAAAATGTCATTTATAAAAATCTGTTTCAATAAAACTATCTTTATTTGAGCAGCAGGCTGCACTTTACTTACCACATAAAGAAACCTTTAAATTCAATATATTTAATAAAGTCAATTAAATTTTATAGCCATTTTTATAGTTTGCAACATCAGACACCATGTAATATTCTCTCTTACTTCCTTAGTATGCTTTTAACTCAAAACCAGCAAACCAATACTGTGAATGGTAAACGGTTTAGAGAAACCAGATTTGGCATACCAATGCTAGAATTCGTTTCTTTAGTGCTGCATTTGGCCACAGTTTAAACTAGTCTAGGTCACAGGTGTTCACAAACCTGGCCAAAAAAAATAGAGACCTCTGAGGTGGATCTGAGGAATATCATGGACCACCCCCTGGCTCACACTAATTCTGCTTTGCACTGCTTTGATTGTGTAAAGCCATCTTAAAGCTGGACAATAGTGGCCAACCGATAATGTCTCTAGTTTAAGGGGAATATTTCATGGCCTAACCTAACCAATTTCTGACATAAGTGGTATGGTAAGAGAGGGGAGGAGACAGGACTTTAACAACCCTAGAGGCTGCAATAGCCCATTGTGCGTATACACTAAGTTAGGCATTATAACCAGCCTGAAATTGGAAAAGCGCTTACATTGCTCTAACTTGTGCCAGGGACTTAATTGATCCCACAGCCACCCCACAATCTGGGGAGTACAAAGACAGCACATATCTCCCCATTGTCTTCAGGTTCTGTGCTAGGTATAGCTCATCTGGATCAAAATACTTTTAATAAAGCTAACATTCAAACATAAGTCCCACAGAAAGATCCAAAGTGTATTTAAACAAGCTGTTTGAGTCCTAAAATTTGGTACTGATTAATGAAATTCCACTACTGGGCAATGACTGACCTGGCAAGTCTTTTAGACTTAAATCCCCTAAACTCAATTCCAACATTTCATTGGTAAATGGAGGACAGACCAAGCCACAATCCTGCATGTGCTTTCTGCAAGGATTATGGCACTGAATGACTAGTAAAGGAACTAACACAAACCTTAGCAGTAAGCATCTGCATGATCAGCTACTAAGATTTCAGTACATTTTGTCAGCCTATCATATATTCAAGAACACATGGAATATTAAAGAAAGACCTTTATGTTTGTGCATGGTTTTGGTTTTCCTCTTTGTAACTGTGGCATTTTGTTCTTCTGATGTTAACTTTGTTACAGTATAACGTGTACCAAAAAAATAAAAATAAAAAAGATTATCCCCTTTGTCTCTTTACATACACATTTTGTATAGGATTTTTTCATCCTGAGCTGAGATTCTGCAGTCTAAAATTAATTGTAATATTCAAACAATTAACTTCTGGAAACAGGCATTTATAATGAGTATGCCAACAGAATCTATATTGATGACAAAGAGAAAAAGAAAAAGAAACAAAATCCTTATAAAGTGTAAGACTCTTTTCAAACTCACCTCTTTTACCTGAAGTAACTGTTCAGAATGCACACTGGTTTCATTTGCTCTAGTTTCCCCTATTAAAAGCTCCCCACTAGCTTTCTTCAGAACTCCTGCACGGTATGATAAGGGAATCAAAGAAAAGATTAATTCTGTAGAAAAATCTGCAGCCTACAACACCTTCTGATATATCAATATGTAGTATAAAAAAATTCAACGAGATGTAGTAGAATACTAATGTTGCGATAAAGTCAAATTCAGGTTATACACAACTCCTTTTATATAACCTGATGAAATCCACATCCCATTGTATTCATATTTTACACATATGCATAGATAACATATAAAATATAGTTCCTTTTGTCATTAATTCATTTTTATACTGATTGTGCAGTCACCTGTTTCTAGCAAGAATAGATAACTTTAGAGCAGCCGTGTAAAAATTAATTTCTGTTCTTTGTTCAATAAATTAAATATATTATGTGGCACTATATATTTTAAACATTTAAGCGATTTTAAAATTCTGACACAAAAAGAATCAAATGGCAGCTAATTAAGTGCAATTATTATATCCAAAATAATGATCAGAGCAAGTACAGACTTCTTTAGAACTAATACCTCATTAGCAAGCCCAATATATATGGCCCAGTCAGATACCATTGATCTCAATGGGAATTTTGCCACTGATTTGATCTGGAGTAAACCAATCACTGGGACAGAGGTCACCAATTGAGGGCCCAGTCCTGCAAACACTTACACATATGAATTGCCCCATGCAGTTATTTGCACGTGTAAGTGTTTGTACAATCTGACCCTTAGATTTACAGGACAGAGTACATGTCTGTCCTATGTTCTGAGCAGCACTAAACATACCACCAGTGCTCAACAAGTAAATAGAAGCAACGTAATTAATAATTTAAACATCCTTCCCTTTCTTAATATAGTTTACATACAATTCTGGTGCAGGTATTACTAATTTACTATGTCTTATGTGAAATTAAAGACAAGAAACAAGGAGCACTAAATGATAGAATGCTATCAAGCATAGCTAAAGAGTATTGTTAAGAGCATATATTAAAAGGTCTTCTGCCGCTTGAAGGCATTGGCAATATGTATGCTCAAAGTTTGGGGAAAGCTTTTCTGTTGAAGAAAACATCTACTTCTTTGAGATCCTTAGGATCTCATTTGTCTAAAATGGATTTTCCCTTTTTCTTAGATACTGCATCCTTTGAAGGAAGGCATCTTGCTTATGCTCTTAAACAGTGTTCCATGGCTTGGAATGACTTCCTCAAGTCCAGTCTTAAGTTACGTTAATGAAACTAGTTCCAGGGAAAAATAATTTTTATTTTTAGAAATATGAAAAATAAAATGGCAGAATATAAAGATGGACAACACTAATCAGGTCACCCACTTCGCCTTCCAACTGCAAGTAGTTATGGGCTATACATTTAATTCTGCCTATTTTTAAATTCACTGTGTGCTGGAGCTTCCAATACTTCCTTTGAGAGATTGTTCCAGATTTTTAAGAGTTTCCTCTCAGAAAGTTTCTCCTGATATCCAATCTACCTGGGAATAATGAGCTGACACTGAGAAAGAAAATTTGTACTTTCTCTTACTATGTTAGATATTCATCTGCTGTAGTGTCCACACCCTTTCAATGTCAGAAGACTTACATTCTCTTATTGTCACTACTCAAGTAAGCAATATATAATTCACTCTTTTAATCTTTTATCAAAAAGTCAAACTGACTAGCCTCCATTTACACTGTCCTTCTGAGAACACCCTCCACTTTATTAACTTTTTCAGTGAACTGACCAGAAGCGAACACATCATTTTGAAATAGATCCTCAACAAGTATAAATTGTCATAGGAGCCATGATAATTTACACTAGTTAAGGATCTTCCCCGTTAGTCTACAGCAGACCTGTGAAGAGATGACCAGTTGTTTGTAATTTGATATGTTTGCATAAATGAATGCATAAATATTCCAGAACTGCTGACACATCTCATTACAAACTCCTGTGCAAATTACACACCACTATCAAACTTAAGTCCTTTTGGGTTTCTTACAAACCCCAGACAATTTCTGTGTTCTCCCTTGTCTAGGTCATTACTGAAGACTGGACCTAACACAGATCATTTCAACATCCTCAAAAATAATTGTTAGCAAGGTAAATAATACTACAACCAAAACTACCTGCAGGTTGGATTGCCCATCTATCTGATATGGACTCAGCCAGGATTTTTATTTTAACTCCACTAGAGATAATAGATTCTGAAGAAAATGAAGAATATCAACAGAAACATCATAAATAAAAAGAAAAAAACAAAAATATTTTCGTAATGATAGATTTGAAGTCCTCCTAGATTCTGTGCTCCATCATTTGTTCTAGCATACCAAACAGAGGAAATATACATCTCAAAGTAAAACTCATATGTCTTTCTAAGTGTAAATTCCATCTTCCAGTCAGTTTGCTCCTTTGGAAAAAAATATTTACTACAGAAGCTATAGCTGCATCTACCTTTGGGACCAAAGCAAAGATCATATTTGTCTTGCTGAAGTCTGTACAACTTCAAACGCTGTCTATTAAGATGATGCACCTTGTAAATTTGATCCTATTTTCCTTTTATTATGCTTTCTAGAAAAGGATGTAAAGTAAAAGATTTCTTCTTTTTAAACTGTGAAAGGAAGACCTTTGCAAATCTTTTTGGTCCCCTGAGGCAAAGCTTGTAAACCTAAGGGCTTGACAACGTTGCCCAGGGTGTTTCAAAGCGCTCCACTGGAAAAGCTTTTCTTGGAACTCATTATCAGATCTGTCCAAAGTTCACCTTTCTCAGTGGAATGGAAAAAAGGTGAGAGAAAGATGAAAGTGTGTTAGATGTTTTTGATTTTTAAAAGTCTCAACAAGAGGCTTCTGAAAAGCCAGAAGAAAGAGAGAAAACGCATCTTAAAGATGGAAGGAAAATGCAATTTGTCAGTGTATTCTTCATTCTAAATAAGGATCTCACACTTAACCCTGACTGCTACTGAATGTTCCAGGTTCCTTCAAATAGAACACACCTCCTGTGATGCTGAATGTACTAGGTATGTCTGAACATTCCAGTGATTTCAATTGAATGTAAATAGATGAGAGCAGGTGTGGTGAAAGACCAGCAAGGAAAGGGTTAATTATATCCACCTCCTACTAGAGAGCCCTGATGGCCAAACCTACCTTTTTCTGAAACCATAATGACATTGCTGGAAGGAAGAGCAGATACTTGGGGCAGGGAATATATATTCTGCATCTGCTAGGAAAAAATGCTGCTTCTTTTCTCAAAAAGATAAGAAATATTGACTTGCTCTGTTGACACTACAATTTGATGGTCAAAGCGCTTTCATATTCTATTTTTAGTGGTTTATGACTTTTCCCCAAAAAATGCTTTTTGGTAGAAATTCCTCTTGCTTATTCACCTCTAAGAAGTATATTGTTTTAGCAAGTCTAAAAGCAAAATCTATATATTGTTGAGTTGTTGGTGCACAAATCAAGTACTTATATCAGTTAAATCATTTTTCAGATTCCTTATCTGTGATTGGATAATTGAAGTATATTTTGAATTTAAGCTTAAAACATGGTATGTATGTAGTCCTCAGTGAGGAATACCTGCCTTTGCAATGTTTGTAAATAAAGTAGTCAAGAAATAAACCTATGAAGAATTTAAAAAGCATACTGAAAATAAATTATAATAGAGAATGCAATACATAGATCATTTTTGTTCATCTGCGTGAAACAATTTGGGGGATTTAACCTATTGAATACAGTCCAGAGAATTCCAGACACAGAACTCTCAAACTGAAGTCACAGAATTGTCCAGATCACCTCAGTACAATTTCTACAGCCATCTCCCTACAGAGTTCACTTTGGTTCAATGTGTCCCTTGGTGCTATTGTCTGCCATGGGGTTATCATCAGAGAGTACTGGTGGGCAGTACTTCCCTGTAACATCTATTTTCAATCGCCTAAATTGATCTTCTAAGCTTTCCATTGTTCACTCTGCAAAGAAACTTGTCTTGTTGGCAGCTAGAAGTGTGAACTACATGTCTTTCTTTTCTTCACTGTTCTTTTTTTGGTTCACAAGCAACCTCCTACCAAAAGCAGAATCTGTGGAAGAGACTACATCCAAGCAATAATGCTATGAAAAAGTATGAAGAGAAGCCCAGGTGGCCACCTTGCAAATTTCCAATGTGGAAGCCTTCGACCTCTCCGCCCAAGAAGCAGCTATAGTACTAGTGTAATGAGCTTTACAAACCCTGGGAGCCTCTTTACCCTTAACTACATACGCCTCCCTAATACAATCCCTTAACCATCTAGCTAAGGAACTCTTAGAAGCCATTTGACCCCTCTTAAGACCCCCTAAGAGTACAAACAATCTGTCAGAAGATCTGAAATCTTTGATTCTTCTGAGATAAACCCTAAGTGTTCTTACATTCAATTTATGCAGCCATTGCTCTTTGTCATCGCTGGGTCTAGGGAAAAATGAGGGCCAAGAATCCTCCTGGTTTAGATAAAACTCAGATACCACCTTGGGGGGGGGGGGGGGAATGAGAAACTGTCCAAAGAACTACTTTATTTCTGATGGAACTTTACAAATGTTCTAAATATCAAGTCTGAAGTCCCCAGATGATATTCTGAACAAAGAACAACTAAACTTGTTATTACAACAGTCAAAAAATGTTCAGTTACTTCCTGGTATGACTTAAATACAAGGCTAATAAGGGCCTCTACAGATACTCAATATAGCCAAGAGGAAAAAGAAACAAATGTAGGGCCTCACTCTATTTGATGTCTGGGAAAACATCACATCAGTGCAATATTTGCTTTTTTATTATTTATTGCACAAATCCTCAAATTACCTACAGTGCTACTGCAAACTCTCAGTGAGCTAACACGTAAATTATTTTCTAAGCCCTCTAATAGGAAAGAAGATACTTCCAAAAAAGTACACAAGATGGCTGTTACCTTTCCCAGTCCTATACCACAAGCATGACATCTGCCAGCCTAAAATAAAGTATACTTGTTAGGTGTATTTAAGCCGTCCTTCTAATCAAGGCTTTATCAGTGAGACAGTGACCAAGA